AGGTATAGGCAGCCCAGAAGCCACCACCACCTCCCCTGCACCTGCTCCAGGGAGCACCTGCACCCAAGGAAAGGCCAGAAGCTGCCAGGCACCCCACAGCCCTGCCACAGGGTTGGAAGGCGTCAGCAAGGGACAGGCTGGCAGTGGCAGGCACCCTGCCCTGGCAGAGCTGTGCAGCAGGGGAGGGGGATGCAGCCTGTCCCTCCCAGCACTACCCACAGGAATGATGGCAGTGCCATCCTCAGTGCCAGCATAGGGCCCTGCAGTGCTCCTGGGGACAGTGATTCCCTGTGCTCTGCCACAGCCTGGCCTGTGGAGGGGCAGGACAGCCTGTCCTGGGCACCTGAGCCCACCTTTGCAAACCAGCTGCTCTCGAGCAGACAGCAGCAGAGCATGCCTGCCATGATGCCACTCCTGTGCTGCCACGGTAGTGTCAGGAACAGTCCAGTGTCCTGTGGCAGTCATGGATGTTTTTGGCACAACTTGCAGAAGTGCCAGCAGTCTCCTGGCCCAGGCTGTCCCATCTTCCCCCTGTTGACCATGACATGCCTAAGGTCACACTGACTTGCCAGAGCAGCACACAGGAAGGTGCTTACCAGCTTCGTCTGGACCCCAGGGTACCATGGGGTGAGAGCAGAGTCTCAAGGATGATAGATGGAAACACAAACCTCCAGTCCTGCCCAAGTATTTCAAAGGTGTCTGCATCCTGTCCTTTGCTTTGCAGTATGGCAAAATCCCAGGAAGGGCTCTAGCAGAGAGACAGCACCCAAAAGTAGTAATAAACACTCTATTTGGAGAGCTTCACCTTAGAGAAACAGCAGATACATAAACAGTGTACAGGGGAAGGCAAAACTGTCAGTACAGAGACAGGAGTGACACACCAGACTGGGCAGTGCTGGAAATGGATCCCTCTTGGTGTCGATGCATTGCACATCTAGCGGGCACCTGCCCTGGTACAGTGGGACAAGAGCTAAGCAGCAAAGACTGGAGTTGGAGGCCATCCAGGGCTACCAGGCACACAAAGCTTCCTTCAGTTCATCGTGATTTTCTGCTCATTGATCAGCTCACAAGGTTTGAAAGGACTCCCTCTGTAGCAGGAGACTAAGGTCAGACCTCAGCAGTGGAGCAAGAATGGAAAACATCAGGAAGGCGAACCCAGACCAGCAGGAGCCTGTCCTAAGGGAAGATGGCAGATTCTGTGCAGGGGGAAGAAAAAAAAAAAAGCTCATGCACAGCTTGGAGTGGGGAAGGCACTCACTCCAAGAACTGAGATTAGCAACCAGCTCCCTCTCTCCTTGCTTAACCTGACCAGCACACAGACCAGATTTTGGAAGTGCCATGAAGGTATCAGCTGCTCCCCTGGCACCCAGCACTGGGAGCCAGCTGCCCCAGACCACCCTCCAGCAGCTGTTGGGCCACACAACAGGAGGCAGCAGCCCACCCTGGCAGAACAGTGTGCCCAAAGCCATCATCCATCCTCCTGCCAGCCCCATGGAGCACCACCAGCTAGGGATATCCTCAGATGGGCCACATCCACACCCTCCTGCTCCATGGAAGAAAAACAGCAGGACATTTGCCATAGACTAGCACAGTCTCAGCTCCACAGAGGCACTGACTCTGGGACAAAGCAGCAGGGTGCCTGACTTGGAGCACTGACTCCAAGCATGAGACCAGCCCAGCGCACATGGCCCTTGCAGTGGGCTAGCAGAGAACAGGCAAGGCCTTAGCTTAAGGCAAAACATCTAAAGAACTTGTCCAAAATGCACAACACTCTCAGATGCCTGCCCTTCCTTCTGGGGCCTTTTCTACCAGTTCTAGTACATTAGCACCATGAAGAGACCATCAGTCTTAATTTCTGGGTTTGAAACATAGAACATCCCTTTTCCAGGATGGTACAAATAATTAAGAACTTTGAAGAAAGGGGTTGGGTAAGTAGTGTCTAATGAAGGAATAATGAAAGCGAGTTTCATTATGATTTGTAGATTTTTAGTCAGTTAAAGGTTTGACCAAGTTATACTACAGTTTCTGCCAGCTCACAAGGTTTGAAAGGACTCCCTCTGTAGCAGGAGACTAAGGTCAGACCTCAGCAGTGGAGCAAGAATGGAAAACATCAGGAAGGCGAACCCAGACCAGCAGGAGCCTGTCCTAAGGGAAGATGGCAGATTCTGTGCAGGGGGAAGAAAAAAAAAAAAGCTCATGCACAGCTTGGAGTGGGGAAGGCACTCACTCCAAGAACTGAGATTAGCAACCAGCTCCCTCTCTCCTTGCTTAACCTGACCAGCACACAGACCAGATTTTGGAAGTGCCATGAAGGTATCAGCTGCTCCCCTGGCACCCAGCACTGGGAGCCAGCTGCCACAGACCACCCTCCAGCAGCTGTTGGGCCACACAACAGGAGGCAGCAGCCCACCCTGGCAGAACAGTGTGCCCAAAGCCATCATCCATCCTCCTGCCAGCCCCATGGAGCACCACCAGCTAGGGATATCCTCAGATGGGCCACATCCACACCCTCCTGCTCCATGGAAGAAAAACAGCAGGACATTTGCCATAGACTAGCACAGTCTCAGCTCCACAGAGGCACTGACTCTGGGACAAAGCAGCAGGGTGCCTGACTTGGAGCACTGACTCCAAGCATGAGACCAGCCCAGCGCACATGGCCCTTGCAGTGGGCTAGCAGAGAACAGGCAAGGCCTTAGCTTAAGGCAAAACATCTAAAGAACTTGTCCAAAATGCACAACACTCTCAGATGCCTGCCCTTCCTTCTGGGGCCTTTTCTACCAGTTCTAGTACATTAGCACCATGAAGAGACCATCAGTCTTAATTTCTGGGTTTGAAACATAGAACATCCCTTTTCCAGGATGGTACAAATAATTAAGAACTTTGAAGAAAGGGGTTGGGTAAGTAGTGTCTAATGAAGGAATAATGAAAGCGAGTTTCATTATGATTTGTAGACTTTTAGTCAGTTAAAGGTTTGACCAAGTTATACTACAGTTTCTGCTGCATCTACGTTTATTCCCTCTCTTTTCCCTCAAAACCCTCCTTCCCCAGAGTATTTTGGTGACAGTAGGGAAAATGCTGCACTTCCACGCAGAACCCAACAGAATTTGAGATTAAATCACCCTGCTCTACCTTCCTCTGTTGATTGCATTAGGTTTTGGGGACCTCCACTGCTGCCAAGTTTGGCTGAGACTGGTTTAAGTCATAGGGGGTAAAGACACACGGTGAATGACCATGTACACCTGTTTCCATAGGAAACCAGGCTAAACAGTTACTTCCTTCCACATGGAAATCCTCAGAGCAGACGACTGAGGACAGTCAGGAGCTCTAACCCCTTGCAGCCCTCCACTCCCACCAGCAGCAGTTAGCACACCAGAAGTTGTCCCTACTTGTTAGACAGCCTCAAACAACCCAGATCCAGAACCAACTGCTGCATTGCTGCAAAAGGCTCTGAGGTCAAGCACTGCCCCGTGAAATTCTGCACAAAAACCTGCCTGGTAGAGGCATGGAAAGAGATGCCACGCTGCTTATTTCCTATTTTAGGCCTGTAAAAAGCCAGGCAACCTGCACCGTGTCCCATCCGCGCTGCAAAAGCACTGCTCGCTATGGTCTAGGAGTTCTACTCCAGCAAAAGCCACCTCTGAGCATGGGATGCTGCTCCTCCAGGTGCAGGAATCCATTCCTTCTCTGGTAAGGGAGGAGGTGGCCACGACCAGCCTGTTGCCAAACCCTCCTTATACCAGATACACACTTTCTCTCACACCGCACCCACCTTCACAGGAAGCAATTACACAATGAAAACTACTCTAAAGGAGTGAAGTATTTGCTGTCTGCCAAGTCTCTTCCAGCTGGATCATTTTCCTGACAGATTCAGTCCCCGTTCTGCTCAACGGGTGCATACAGGAGGGTAGAGCTTTGCTTATCCAGAGGGATAATGAAACCATTGTGGGCTGGCAGAGGATGTGTGTTCTTGGGCCACCAACAACTCCAAGAACAGTGCTGCAACTTGCTCTAGAAGTCTTGGCTGAAGTAACTGTAGCCTCCTGGGGCAGTTGACTCTTCCCGGACGTACTGCTGTGGCGGGAACGGTCCGATAACTGGCACTGCTCCTGGCATCCTGGACATCGAAGGGAGCAAGAGGAAGTGAAGGAAAAAAAAGGAGACAATGTCAGAAGTGCTCAAACAGCTGCCAGCAGCAATCACTGCTCAGCAG